TTTAATCTCCTAAAACAAAATAACTTTCAACCCAGGATCCTATATCCAGCTAAACTGAGTTTCATTTATGATAGAGAAATTAAATATTTTAATGATATTCACATGTTGAAGAAATTTGCCATAATAAACCAGCTCCCCAGGATATTCTCAGACCTATCCTCCATAATGACCAGTGTGATCCTGCACCACAAAAGTAAACTCACTCAGAAATTCTTGATCAAATTCCAACTTCCACAGTGGGGAAAGGATTAAAACTGTTCACTGGAATTTCTAAAAACTCGATACCCACAATTCTACCAGGCTTATGAATATTCTCAATTAATGTGAATGGCTTAAGTTGTCCTCTAAAGAGGCACAGGTTGGCTGACTGGATACAAAAACTCAGGCCAGATATCTGGTACATACAAGAATCTCATCTTACATTAAAAGATAAATACAGACTCTGGATGAAGGATTGGTCATCTATATTCCAGGCAAATGGGAAAGCAGAAAAAAGCAGATGTTGCAATTGTATTCGCAGATACAATAGGCTTTAAACCAACAAAAGTAAGGAAGGATAAGGATGGCCACATCATATTTGTTAAGGGTAATACTCAATATGATGAGATTTCAATTATTAATATTTATGCACCCGACCAGAATGCGCCTCAATTTATAAGAGACACTCTAAAAGGCATGAGCAACTTGATTTCCTCCAGCTCCATAATAGTTGGAAATTTTAACACTCCTTTGGCAGTGTTGGATAGATCCTGCAATAAGAAGCTAAGCAAAGAAATTCTAGATTTAAACTTAACCATTCAACATTTGGATTTAACAGACATCTACAGAACATTTCATCCTAACAAAACTGAATATACATTCTTCTCATCAGCCCATAGAACATACTCCAAAATCGATCACATCTTAGGTCACAAAGCTAACTTCAGCAATGTTAAAAGAATAGAAATTATTCCTTGCGTCTTCTCAGACCATCATATAATAAAAGTTGAACTCAGTAACAATAGGAATCTGCAGATGCATACAAAAACATGGAAGCTAAATAACTTTACGCTGAATGATAGCTGGGTCATAGATGAGATTAAGAAGGAAATTACAAAATTTTTGGAACAAAATGATAATGAAGACACGAATTATCAGAACTTCTGGGATACCACAAAGGCAGTCCTAAGAGGGAAATTTATAGCACTGCAAGCCTTCCTCAAGGGAATGGAAAGAGAGGAAGTTAACAACTTAATGGGCAATCTCAAGCAATTGGAAAAG